AAAAAAAAAAAAAAAAAAACTGATCTGTTAAAGAAGTAATTGGCCTTTCTGAGCTGATTTTTCCATCTTTTGTAACTATCTTTATTAAAAAATTGTACTTAGAAGAAAAAAGTACAAATCACCTCTTGATGACCCCAATTCTCAAAACTGCCACATTGGGATTAAGTTTCTTTTTTTTTTTCAAGATGGAGCAATACTTTATTTTTGCACACTTTGACAAAGAAGTTTTCAGTAAACAACCTTTCCAGTGGAGATTGAAAATCAGCCTGAAGCCATCAGCTGCTGCTCTCTGTTCCGGTCCTTGGCCAAGTGGTGAGCTAGAGAGGTGTATTTCCCTTTATTAGCTTATTCTGCTGTTTCTTGAAGGCATTCACGTGGTTCATTGTTTTCTGCTGAATTCTATGAAATCTATTTTCTATTTCTATGAAATCATCAAATTCTATCTTGCACTCTTTCTTTAACCAGACAGCACCAATTCCATGTGCACATTCTATTCATTCTTTTTCAAAAGCATGGCATCAAGCAGGAGTTCTGAAGCGTTCTTCAGCACTTTGGATTGCCAACCTGCGATCTAAATTAAGGCCCAGTCTTTTCTGTATATCAAAGAAAGGTGTGGCATGCCAGTGCAGTGTCCTTGTTTGTTCTTTGCCAACAGCAGCTTCAAGATGACTGGGATTAAGTTTCAACATGAGTTTTGGAGGAAACATTCAAACCATCACACTGACCTTTGTGTTACAACATCCTGAGTCCCACTTACTACTTTCACAGCAGCAGCATCTCCAAATACTTACTGATCTGCTCCAATTTCTTTTGACATTCACTTCAGTCTAGTTAACTAATGTATAATGATTTCCACTTCTACTTCAACTATGTTGCTGCAGTTGATCTTGTTATCTTCCATGTATGTCTATTCTTTAGAGATACTCATAACTGTTTTGCAGTAGTTCTCAACCTTCCTAATGCCACGACCCTTTAACAGTTCCTGTGGGTTGCAACCCACAGGTTGAGAACCGCTAGTTTAAAGGTAGAGCCTGGAAATCTTTATTTTAATTCAAATGGTTTAAGTATTACACAATAGGAATGTCTTCTCATTATAAAAGCTTCATAACATTGTAATATGCACAAAGAGAATGACTTCTTGTCTCAATTCTTGTTCTCCCAAGATATAATTGCTGATGCTAGCTGAGCGTGAATCTTTTCAGATGCTTTCTTCTTATGTGCATGTTTGTAAATAGAGAATTTTTACAAATACCTGTTAACCAATTTTTTGGCACAAAGAAGAAAATGTGACACAATATCGATTTTCTTCTACGTGCTTTACTCCTATTAACTAATTTAATTCTCATAATAACTCTATAATAACTATCATCATGCAACCTTATTCTATAGATTAGGAAACTGAGGAAGAAAAAAACATAGACAATTGCCCAAGTCACCCACCTAGTAAATGGTGGGGTGCTGTCCTCTGGCCATGTGCTCAGAACCTCTTTATGATACCAGTATCATACTATATAAATTATTTGGCAAATTGCTTTTGATAACTTAAGTATATGACTTGGAATCCATTTAAGATATAATATAGAGCTCTTTCCTCCCTTTGTAGACTTTCTCACAGTATTCCAAAATTTAAAACATAGATGTACTACTTTTTATTTAGCTGTGCCCGTTTCTTGACCTGTAGACCATTCATTATTCTTTAGACTACTTACTAGTAACTGTCTCCTATTAATAATTGTCTTAGATGGGTGAACTGTGAGTACAAGGGTATTCACTATACTACGCTGTTGACTTGATTTGTTGAAGTTTCCGTAATAAAAGCTTTTTTAAAAGAAATACTGGAGTTGGGGTGGGGCCCCTAGGTCAGTGGGAAGGGTGCCGGCCACATACACCCAGGCTGGTGGGTTCGAACCCGACCCCAGCCAGCAAAACAACAATGACAACTGCAACAAAAAACACAGGCACCCACCGCAACACCAGGCATTGTGGTGGGCGCCTGTAGTCCCAGCTACTTGGGAGGCTGAGGCAAGAGAATAGCTTAAGCCCAAGAGTCGAGGCTACTGTGAGCTGTGACATCATTGTACTCTACCGAGGGAGACATAGTGAGACTCTGTCTCAAAAAAAATAAAATAAAATAAATATAAAAATACTGGAGTAGAAATTTATTCTACTTACATCTTCATGATCATGTATGAGAAATACTGTAGGGTAAATACTGAGAAATGGAAATACTGGGTTGAAGATTATAGATTATATAATAGATGAGAACAGATTGCAGGGGCCAAAATGAGCTTTACTAATTTACATATTGACTACTAGTATGAGAATACCTATTTTCCTACCACATTTGAAACTGTTCATATTTTATATGTTTGCCAATATGCCAAGCAAAGCAAAAAACAGTTTGATTTTCAATTCCCTGATTCCCGGTTAGGTTAAATAATTTTAAGTGTTTTCATTCCTTGCCCATAAAGAATGATTTCAAAGTTTTGCTTGATTTTCTATGGAATTGCAAGAAGCTGTGTTTTGGGGGTTTTTTTGAAGGGGGGCTGGTTTTGGAGACAGAGTCTCATTTTGTTGCCCTCAGTAGAATGCTGTGGCATCCTAGCTCACAGCAACCTCAGACTCTTGGGTTCAAGCGATTCTCTTGCCTCAGTCTCCCAAGTACCTGGGACCACAGGCGCCTGCCACAATGCCCGGCTATTTTTTAGAGACAGAGTCTCACTCTTGCTCAGGCTGGTCTCTAACCCGTGAGCTCAGGCAATCCACCTGCCTCGGCCTCCCAGAGTGCTAAGATTATAGGCGTGAGCCACCGTACCTGGCCCTCTGTGTTTTTATAAATCTCTCCAGATGAACCTGAAGGTCAACCATATTTGAGTGCCAAGAGTTAAAGGGTTGTTAACTTTGATTCTATGTCATAGAGTTGGATGCCTGTTTGTGTTGCCTTTCTGTGTCAGGAAACACGTTAATCCAACCAGTAGCCACTCACTAGGAATGAACAATATTCCGGTCTCTCATATTTCTCCAGGCTTCTGTAACTCTTGGACCTCAGTAACCACCTTTATCGCTCCTCAGTCACTGAGATGCCTTATTTATCTTGCCTCTTTCCTTCCATCCCCTATTACTTGTAGTATCTTCTACATGAAAAAGAAGAAACTTTGGGCAAGTGCTCCTATAAACTTGTATTCCTTTTTTTTT